TAGAATGACTGTTCTAACGCTTTCTATCACACTGCTGCACGCATGATGCTTTCCGGATCAATGGAACGTCTCTGCCTCTTTCTGCACACCAAGTCCAACGGGTCTGTGCTCATTTTCTTTTTGTTCTGTCAGCATAGCAGGATGTGTTATTAATAATCCCTCAGGACACTAAGATACCATGGTAAGGTGACACCACGTGTTACTTCAGACTGTGCAACACAGGGTCAAGCTGCCTGACTGTATTAAGTGCTTTTGGTCAAATTTAAAACATGGACATTAGATGGCAAAGAAAGAAGCACCAGAGGTTTCATTTCACAGAGAAGTGCAAGTGATCTGTGGGTCCTTAGCCTCCAAAGAGGGCACATCAGTCGTATTTGCAGAGAACTCACATTGTGCTCAAGATAAAAACAACACATGGTGGCAGTTTATAATCACCAACAAAGTGAGGATGCAACACGCAAGAGGAGGGAAAGCAGCCAAAAGCTCAGACCAGGGAGTTACTTGGATACAGGAAGGGAGGTGTGGCCGAGGGGGGTGCCGTAAACATAACACATGAAAACAAACAGAGAACACAAGCTCCTGGACTCATTCCAGCTCAGAGTTACTCCAGGAAAGCTACCCGACATGGAGAGTGCTTTCATTTTAGTTTTGAGTCTCTGAAAAACAACACACGCTTTAGAACCAATATTTTGGAGCTAAAGGGTGTTGAATATACACACATTAAAAAAAAAAGAAAAGAAAGAAAACCTGAGGGGTGAAAAAAAGGGGGAAAAAAACCAACTCTAGAAAAGTAGTGCCATCTAAATTAAAAAAAAAAAAAAATCACCCCATCAAAATACCAGTCTTAGAAAGATTAGGCAAGAAACCTAATACTAGCTTCAGCAGCGAGGTAAATCATTCCAGAAGTTAATGCCAAGAAGAGCTGGCTTTGCCTATGCCCATGAAATTAAAAAGAAAATGGCACATGAGGAACAATCCCCAAAGCCAAAAGGAGCTTTCCTACCCCAGAAACTTCTGCATTTATGGGGAAAAGCATGGTAAGGTGAGTCACGGTCAGGCTTGAAGAGGACAGGAGGACTGAGGCTTTGGCGCTGCTCCTTGCTGTTGAAGCCCAGCAACACAGGGCCCACGGGGGCTCTGTGGGGAACTCACTGCAGCGGATACAGAGTAAAGATCACTGCTCAGGGAGTGTGTGTGTGTGTGTGGGGGGGGGGGGTTTAAGTAAAAGCACAGGCATGGCATCAAATGATGCTTCCCTACTCTGGGGTGGGGCAGGGATCTGTAAGGCAGCAGTGTGGTGTCATAGTTTCAAAAGTATAAAAATCAAAAAACCAAAACCCAGCTCATGCTTACTATCATTAAAAAAAAATTCTTCCTTTCCCTGATGGAGAACTCAGGTGGTAAGATACCCCAAATCAGCATTATTAACTAACCACTAATCAGTATGCTTTTGACATTGGAAGGTGAGTATCTTGTTGGAAGGATAGGCAAAACTCAAAGAAAGAAAGATCCATGAGGCTTTAAAAAAATGATAATGATTAAAAAAATTGGAATTTACTGGGATAATAAGTATAGATCTTTTCCAAGTCAGTCGGTAAGGATTGGCTCATGGTTTATCAGAAAATAAGGCCTGGGAGCCAAATCTGATGTTTTACCCTAGGATCCCTACACAGAAAAACATAATTTCTTGAAATAATGAAAAAAAAAATTCAACATTAGGCTAATCTATAAGAGCCCAATACTAAGGAATATTCATTATACTAGCATATCTCTAGGATTTTCCAGGCTTATAAAAAAATTAGGCATTATAAAACATTATCTAATTCTTAAAGGGTTACAAAGAGATTAAGAATGATTGTAATTATTTATTGACTATGAGAGTAACAACAGAAGCCAAACAACCCCTTTCCCCCAAACCGATAAAGGTTTCTAAGTGGAAAAACTCCCTTTTGTAATTCCCTTCACTGCCAACTTCTCAAAATAAAAAAAAAGTAAAAGAAAAAAAATCAAATAGGGACTTTTGAAGTTCACGTTTAGTTGACAAAAGATGCTCTGACATTGCGATTCTGCCTGGATTGAAAGACAGAACAATCTGGTCCAGGTCTGACAGGAAGGATGTCAAGGGTGGGGAGTCAGGAGCTGGAATGTGTAGGAGGCCAGTGCACTGGGCCAGGGCTGGGAACTGCTCGGCTAGAGAACGACAGGGTTTACTTGCCTGTTTGAATAATCTCATCTCCATTTAGGACCTGTAATTTAACACAGTGGAGGTATCACTTGCAACAGTACCTAGGCAGCTGCTTGCTTCTCAGAAGAGGAAGCCCTTCTCTGTTCTCCATCTGAGTCACATGGAGTGATCCTGGAGGGGGGGGGGTGAAAGGTGGCACAGTCCCTGGACTGATGTTTGAGAAATGGTCCCCTAGTACCATTACCAGGCTCCCCATGGCCATGCTATAAGGTCCAGGACGGGCCTGCCCTCACCGATGGAGTGCTCATCCTCCCCTTCTAGTTAGAAAGCGGCTGGCCCAGGCTGGCCTTGTGGCATGAACTGACTCTAGGAGATGGAGAGGCTGAATTCAGGGACAAGCCATGTCCTGTGGGACACAGGGCTGCTGAGAGAGATGAAAACCAATTCACTGGGCATCCGGCATAGCATTTTGGGAAATGCTGGGCTCAACTCTCGTGTAAGGTAAGATGCTATATTCATTTCAGAAATGTTTTTTCTACTAGTGGCACCAAGCTATTCATTACAAAGGGTACCAAAGGATGTTCACAGTCTCTTCCTATAATAATATTTTAATGTATCAGTAAGACAACAGCTGGGACTGGAAAACCTACCTTTTAAGGAGAATATAATTTTTCAAAAACTGACTTTAGTGTTTGATTTGTGCTATGCATGGTGCAGTGGTTTCCACATGTGCTCTAGTAGATTTTCCCAGTATTCTTTGGGGATCCACACTGGGCATCTGGTAGAAAATGTACTATACAGTAAGGCCTATGTTGGAATCGGTAATTGATTACATTTAGGTAGCTTTGGTGTCATGCAACCTATTATTGTTGAGTGCTCAGTAGGAGCAGCTGGAAACTGATCTATAAAAGGTGCCTCTGGTTTCACCAAAGTAGTCCATGGAATCAAACCATTTAAACACCACTGTCTTGAGGGAAGGACAGAAAATATTATATAATTGAGCTAGACCATAAGTCTGGTACTTTGAAGGTAATATTTCTTCCATTCCTGAACAGTGCCACACTCCTGGTTAACAGACAGAAAGTCCTTGTTTTCCAGAGCATTGAGCCCTGATAAATCCAATTCCCTCTCTTGCTTTCACCTTCTATCCTAGGGCTCCTGCTGCATACCCAGTCATCTTGCCCTAGATGTCAAAACAGGGGCTGGGGTGGGCTAACAATGAGAAGCTGATGATGAAGCTGTGTTGATGAACAACCGAGAAAAGGGCAATCCTGCATGCAGAGCCACCACTATGACACAGCCACGCTCCCTCTGCTTCAGGCCAACACAATCTCAGGCCAGCTGGAATTATTAAAATGGTCTGTTGTATCTTATTGGAACTAAAAGCTCTCCTGGTGTGGTTTTTAGAACTTTCCCTGCTTTATACTGCCATATTGAAAATTCCACAGTGAAAACTTATCAACACTAGTTTTCCTGACTAAATTGCCCTCTTTCTCCAGGCTATTTCTCTTAAGCCTGCAGTATGAGTTTTTATAGTACATAGCAAGATGGCCTTGTCTCCACTACCCTTCCCTCACTCACCCTGGAGACACCTGAAAGTTTTTGTTTTTGTTTTTAAAGGACCATGTAAGATAATTACAAAAGAAGTTTCTTCTGCTACTTAGGAGGTCTAAATATCCAGAAACTACAGAGTTTAAGACTCCAAAATATTTTGGGAACTATGCTGACGAGAGAGCATCACTCGACTTCCAGGTCAGGAGTCTCTGAAGGAGTACAAGGCCCATGGAGCATTCTTCCCATGGCTGTGCTTTAAGCTTCACCCCCAGTGCCTTTAAAAAACAACCCCACCCCAGCACCTAGACTGGAGGTGGCAAGGGCATGTTTCAGAACAATGGAGGCTCTAACACAGACTGACTGCTGGCTGACGTGCAGTGAAGGGAGCAGAACATGAAGTCCTTACTCCCAATTTTATTTTACAGCTGACGGATATGGTATATACTTAAGGGTGAGAAATGCACACCTGGCTGGGTTGTCTTCAGGCAGGTGACACATTCAGTGGGTAGACCAGACAGTCTCAAAACTGCACCTGCCTTTTGTGATTTGTTTCGTTCTAAGACATACAACTATATGTTGCACTGACAAAATGAAAAAGAATTAAGAAACATTTTCTGCCTGCTGGATTTTGTTCTGAACATTGATGTGTCGCTGTGAGATACTCTTGGCAGTCATCACACCATTGTTGTCACAGGTATAGAGTGAGCAAAGGCCCAGACTGATTTCATCAATCGAAAGAGGCTCTCTAAGCACAGCCAACAACCAAGCAAATTCCAAGCATCAATGCCAAGCCTGGAAACAAAGGAATAAGGAAGGGTACCTTTGACAACCTTGTCTCTCCCCTACAGTTGGGGCCAGAGGTTGATGGCACAGTGGACGTGACTGACAAGACCGTGAACATCACAGCCAAGCAATGGTCAGTGGAGGTCACAAGCCAGACACATGCAGTTACTTTTCACAGCTATTCCCTTAGAGAACGCCCTACTTTCCATAAGGAAAGAAGTAAACCCCATCATGCACTAGGTTGAGATCTGTTAAGCAACTGTACTAAGCACGCTAATACTTTGCTGGGTTAACAGACTTGTCACTAGTAAAAGAAAGGAGAAGTGAGAGATCATATTGAAATCTTCAAAAGGTAATGCTGAGAATTTTTCAGTGACCCATTTTCCAGAACATGCCTTGGCATGCACAAGGGACGGGAAGTCAGGAAATAACAGTTATTATAAACAAGTGCCTTCTACCAGATTCTGAGCCTGCTTACCTGTGCATCGATTATTTTCTGCTTTGCATCAATAACTGCTTGCATCTCAGCATGATCCTTCTTCAGTTCCTCCTCCACAGCCATTAGCCTAGAAAGTGGCAGGAAGGACATTTCAGCATCTTCAAAAAGAGGGCTAGATAATGAATGCAGAGGACAAGAAATCCAAACTCATCCTAGTTCAGTATTTCCACTCCATCCCAATCAGAGATCTTTCTTCTCTCCTACCTTGGAAGACATCCAACATTAATTTCTCTCCCTGTGACTAGGTCACTCACATCTTCATTTCCTCTGGGACAGTATTTCCATGATCATTTCTTCCCTCAGATCCCTTAGCACAACTCACTTCATCTTAAAATATCAAACCAGTCAACAAAAAACCAACAATTTCCTCTTAATCTCAAGTTACCCTGTGACAGCTGTCCTTTCTGTTCCCTGCACAGGTGGGTCTAGTTTCTTTCTCATCCACCATTTACATCTCACCCCACTGATGTTTAAATCCCATCAAACTGCCCTCAGTAAGACTGTACGGCTGAAACAGCAGAACTCTTCTGTCTTCAGTTTACCTGACCTTCCACAGCTTTTGACAAGATAGAAACACAGTGGTTATTGAGCATGGATTCTGGAGCTTGAGCCTGGCTTCAAATCTTGGTTGCACTGTTAGGTGACCTTGGGCAAGTGTCTTTTAATCTGTTGCTTGTTTCTTTATTTGTAAAACGAGAATAGTAATAATGCCTTCCTCAGATGTTGGCATTAAATTATTATTAACAGATTAAACAATCTGTAAAAGAAAATGAGCCAGGCCCATAGTAAGTGCTATGTGAGTGTTGGGTAAAATTAACCCTCCCTTAGCCTCCCTTGACATCCTTGGCACCTTCTTCTCTTGGTTCTCTGGCCCTTACCAAGAGGAACTTCCTTCCCTGTTTTTGGAAACTTTTGTGAAAAACTAAGTTAGTTTTGGACACTGAATACTTAGGTTTTTAAAACCCACTTCTCCTCTAAGGCCTCTCAAGTGCATCATAAAGTTTTTATTTTTCCTAATTGTTATGATGAAAGAAAACAGACTACCTCTATCTTCAAAGGAAGTGCACAGAGGTTGCCCACTTGGAAAATTTAAGAGACAGGACCAGTCATCACCTTTGTACTAAGTACCATGAGCATACGCAGTCTGCAAGTGGCACTGCTGCCGTTCCTTGAGGAGTCTCTGGCTCCTCTTTCCACCTCTTTGTGTGCCTGGCTACCCACTGCCACTGCCAGGTGACCCTGTAACCTGCTAATGATGCTCTTCATCTGGCTGTCCTTCTCTTCCTGCTGCCGGCGCAACCGCTCCTCGCTGTCCTCCAGCCGGGCCTTGTACTCGAGCAACAGCTTCTGCATCTGCTGCTCCTGCACCAGCAGCCGGCGCTCATACTCCTCTAGCCTCCGGCTGGACACTCGCAGGCGCTCCTTCAGTTTAGTGATTTCCTGTTCATACTAGAGGACAGAAAAAGGAGTTACACAAGTTGTAGAATCAGTGATTTGCTTTTGAAAAAAGAAACCTGAGGCAAGGTAGCTAGATACCATCCGAACTGCCATCCCACCTATTGCTGATGTTCTTGAAAATTATCAACAAGCACAAATGGGAATGGAGCTCTGCCCTCCTCCTAAAATTACATTTATATTGTTAACTTGGCATTCTAAATCTATATATTAATGTGTCTCTCTCCACATTAAACTACCAGCTCCTGCAAGCCGCATCCAATCTGTGATGGCATCAAATAAGAGTAGGAAAATAAAATGATCAAGCACTTGGAAGCCTGACAAATCCCTTAAAATGAGCCAAAAGCCAGTTGTCGACAAGAGAAAGGTTCTGTCATTGCCTGTACTGTAGGAATCTCGGACCGAGCTTGGCTCATCGTTCCTTCACTCTACTAGAATCAGCCCTGTAGAGAACACCCAACATTTCTATAATGTTAAGCACTACTAAATAAGTAACTAGAAGTTTATGGCAGAGCAGACTGTTGCTTCTTTCTCCCCAACTGGAAAAGTATAAAATATTCAGGTCACAAGGATTAAGCCAAAGGCCTACAAGTTCTTTAGGGCTGATGGATACTGCCTCTTGGCCCTTTTTCAAGATGTGGTTCACCTGTCCAATTTAGTTCTCCCTTCTCAACACATAGTTCTGTTTTCTTGCAAAAGCTTTATGTAAGTAAAGCTTTATATAATTCAATTGGTTACACGACCCTTTCTTGTACTGAAGTTGCTGGGTGTGGGGTTTGAGTACACTGGAATGTCAAATTTCTAGGCAAGGTGAGAAGCATAAGCTTTGTTATAGATGGTCTACATAAATTCATTAGGAATTAGTGATAAATCTGTACAATAATTTGTAGAATGCAATCTATTTTCACATAATGTTTCATTTAATTGACAATCAGACAATTAGCTTCTTTAACAACATGGTCCTAAATGATGATTTAATCCAGAAGGTTAAAGATGACAATTTTTAGGATAGTTTGAAGAGGAAGACTGCATCAATGAGCATGTTTAGGATCATGCTGATAGGTAAGCAGAAGCTAGCTGTCTGGTTCTTAGTCAAATAAGATAATGCCATACATGGTGTCAAGTTCTTGTTTGATAATTTTTTTCCATGTCAACTTAAAAAAATAATAAAACAAAACTGAGTCAATAGATATCTTTTTAAAAAATCATCTATAAAACCAGAAGTTCTTTATCTAGAAAAGACAAAAAGAAAAAACAAACAAACACAAAATCATTACCAAGACAGAGAAAGAAAGTCTAACCTAAGGGCAATTTTGGCCTTGAATGAAGAGTACCAACCAGTTTATAGAAACACTATAAGTGTCTAAAATTACTAGAAACTTACAGCAGAGTAGTCTCCAAATTAAGGTAACCTACATAAAAAGAAAATAGAGCTGGTGCCCCCCCACCCCAGCTTGATGGACCTTTCCTGCATATTTCCACATAAGGACACTACTAATTATTATTCATAGATATGTATATGATGGCTAACATAAGAGGTGGAGCTGAAACTGGGGAGAGGCAGAGCAGGTCCTTGGCTAGACAACCCTTTTGTGGCCTATCACTGTGGGGCAATACATCAATAAAGACAGACTTGGTTCTACCTTCTCAGCATGCTTGGCTTCATCTTGATTTTGCTCCGTTTCTTCCACATCCTCTTCATACTGCCCATTGTTCAGAACCCAGGCTGCTGTCCTCTCTACTGGGGACATTGTGGCAGAGTCCACAGGTGACTGAACCTGCATCAGAAATACTTATTAGCATCTCCCAAGACAGCTCATCCACTAGTTATGTTTCACAAAGAGAACTATTGTTGGAAGACATAACTATGATCCCTGTTTTCTACTATTCAATAGCAGTTTGAGCTAAAGTAGCCACAAAAACTAATAACAACTTCACTGTTTGGAACTTATTACATCAAGGCAGCTAATTCAATAGCTTTCTGCTTTATACAAGTTAACAAGATGTTGCTTGAATAAACTTTCTTTCCCTGTTATGGTGTTGAGTGCCTCTAAATGTACTGCAAACTAACAATACTCCTAAGAACACACTAAGGAAAAACTTTAGCTCCTAAAAACGTGCAGTGGGGCCTTGACTTACGAGTGTCCTAACGAGTTTTTCGAGATAAGAGCTGTCTCTCAGCCGATTTTTTGCTTTGAGTTGCGAGCTAAAATTCGGGTTATGAGCCAGCTTCAGATACCCCACCGCGAGTTGGCGCAGCAAACGTCACAGTGAACGCCACAACATCAGCCCAGCATCACGTGTCTCACTCAGTGAAAATTGATTTGACATACGAGTAATTTGAGTTACGAGCTCCGTCACAGAACGAATTAAACTCGTAAGTCAAGGCCCCACTGTATTAAAAACAGCAGTTCCTTAGGGTAATCTCAGCTTCAACTGTTAAATGAGAAGCCAAAAAAATAAGAGTGGTTTCATTCCATTGGTGATGGTGGTAGCTACCCTATCTCCAGAAGTAACAATGTCCAATGAACTATGAGAGATTGTACAATGGGAACTGGGCATTCAGGTCTATTCCTATTTTATTGGTTGAATCTGATTTTTAACCACTTCCTACTATATCCTAGCACTTTGTGTGGCATATGGTAGGTAGTAAATAACTGTTGAAAAATAAGTGACCAATATTAACTATGCCTTGTATTCATGATAAAACTTTTACACAATTATAAAGAGATGGAAAAGTAATATTGAACAAATAAAAATTAGTTATTCTGTTAGACTGGTAGAAAATAGAGGTGATTTTTGTTTCAAAATTATTTTCTTGTTGTAATACATTCTTCATATTAAAAAAACTATATACTGTTTACATTTTTTTCTATTGGTCTTATGTGTACTGGTCTTATTTCCTAATTAGACTGTCAATATTTGAGGCATGGCAGCATATCATATAGTTTTTTTTGTGATTTTTTTTTTGGAATGGTAGTGACTATATAATTGTACAAAGCTGCTTGATGAAACATTATTTATTAATACTCTAGACAGAATTCATTACTATAATTTATTACTAAGGGAAAGATACACTGTTTTTCCTCTAATCCTCCTTTTATTAATAAACTACACTTTATTACTCTATGTAGTGCAGCAGAGGCTATTCCCCAATAATTGTTCCATCTTCTTCATAAGCTGGATATATAGCAGAACTTATTACCTCCAGTTTATAGACAAAGACATTGAAAGAGAGGTTGGTAAGAGATTCAGATCCCACTTTGCTTCGCTGTAGCCTTGAGAAGAGCTTTTACAGCCACTGACTTTCAACAGGGGATCATTAAAGAAAATGAAGGATGAAAAAAAGACAAAAAGTAAAGGAGTAGGAATTCCTACTAAGAACATCTCCCTCTTGAGATAAAGCTGTATAGGGTTTCTCTGGGAACAATCATAATACTTTAGGGCAAAAGAGCCTGAGGAGCAGTTTCGCTGACCCTATAATTACTCATAGCCTGGCTATGCTGAGGACAATTGAGAACGGGCAGCTCCCTGGTTCCTTGCTAGTATTTACTATGTATAAATGAGACCTGTTGGTTTCAGCTTCTCCACAGTCTGAAATGGTCAGGTTCCCATCAATGAATAACAACACTTCTGCTATGAGCACCAAAGATGGGTGGACTAAATTACTAAGTAAATGCCGAGAGTGCTTGAAGAGGTTGGTTTAGGGGAGGGTCAACAAATCCAAATGTGAAAACTATAGCATCATTCCAATAGGCTGGCCAAATACCAATTTTAAGAGCTTCTTCAAATTTGAACTTCTAAGTTTAGGTAACATGCTATATCTGAACAACTCAGACATTGCAGATAAAGTGTATTATGCATACAGAGTACATGATGCATGAAAAACAAAATGAAGAGAAAAATGAGAAAAAATAAATCCACACAGAGGCTGAAAAGGGACAAAAATTAAAGTTTCCTGGAAAAATAATTCCCTCTGTAGATTGTTTTACTGGAATTTTATTTCCTGCCTACTCAGTAGATGGAGGAGACCGAGGCTAGTTACAGTGCCAACAATGGCCACTCCTTTGTGCATAGATATAAATGGAATTTGCACAGGACAAAGCCACTGATAATTGCAGACGCCTACAGAACAATCCCCACAAAGAAGTCCTCTAGTTTTGGGGAGAGAAGAATTCTCTAACACAATTTGCAATTATAATATGTAAAGGAATTTGCCTGAAAAATGCGCTGATTATATAGAATTTCAGAGGCTTCATGGGAGTAAGATGAGAAGAGCAAGCAAGAAACAGAAAGGAATTTTAAAAAATAACATAAATTCGAAAGAATGAACCATCTGCCTAGAAAAACCCAGTGTAGAAAAACCAGAAACTTGAGCAATCAAAATATAGTGATTTATGGTTTAACTGATATGAGGTGGCAGTACCAGCACAGGCATAAGCAAAGGTAACTATCTAAAGCTGTGCTAGGACATCTCACTGTGGCTATGCCTCACTTTATGGCAATATAATATAGACATTATTCAATGCATTAATGGCTGTGACAAAATTTTAAATTGGTTGTTTGGAGACTGTATACATTTACCACTGCCCATCTATCACCCATAGAAACACGTACTGAGTGCTTATGTGATAGGTGTTATATTTTCCTATAGCACAAACACTGTTACTGACAATTGAAGAATCTGTCTGAGTCATGGGCCCTGGGAATTGATGACTAAAGGAGCATTCCTCTCTTCTGTCTAGGGCTGGGCCGACATCCATTGTCAACCTCAAAAGTAAGTAGACGTCCTTCCCTGTCCTGTCCCTCTCTTCCA